CCCCAAAACCCCAAAACCCCAAAACCCCAGCATCAATAAGTTAGAGAATTTATTATGAAATAAAAATAAATCGATCAGTTTTCACTATAAAATTAGGAGATAAAATCATTTGCTAGTTTTGAAAATTTGAGACTATATGCTAGACTAGCTTCAGCCATATTTTTCTTCTCAGTACAATTTTTCTTAATTTTTTCAAGGTCATAGTAAGGTATTCTTTAATCTAAATGCTGTTTCTTAATGTAGAGACAACTAACACCTGAACCCTCAGAAGCAATTACATCTCCATAGTAGTTATAAGTTTTAATTCTAAAGAAATCACTAAGACCAAAGAAGTCTCCCTTTTTGAGTATTTTCTATTCATTTTTATTAGTCTACTCGCAACATTTCTTCTAGTTAACTTAGCCTTCTTCCTGATTCGCTTCACTTTGATCTTTGCCTTTGATGTGATTTTTCCAATGACAACATTTAGGTTTTTAAATATCAGATTTGTCTGTCTTATCAATAGTTGGCTTTACAATGCATTGCCCTTCATCTAAAATATACAAACCATCTTCAGCATCATCTATTTTGAACGTTTCTAGATAATGATTGAGTATTTCCATGTTCCTTTTGAAAACACTCTCTATCAGGTACTATATTTTATCCTTTTCAGACTTAAGTTGTAATTTTTACTAATACATCTCCTTGTTGGTCTCAATTTGAAGATTTGTATCAACTGAGAGTTGCTCTTTAGAATTTCTTCGGGATATCAGATCTCTTACTATAGGGTTTTGATTGGTAAGTTGATCAATCAAACTCTCAGTCTTTTTAAAGGCATTCAAGCTGATTCTAGATTCCTAATGGATGGATTAAGGATTAGTATTTGCTGTGGCATCTAGTTATGACACTGGGAATTTATTAACCTAAAACAACTTATCTTATGCTGCATAGCTTTAGTCAGGATTGAAAACTTTTTGTTTCTTTTTAAGTTTAATCTTGTCTATGAATTATTGCTTATTTCTTTCAATCATTTAGTTAGTCATTCTATTGCCATAAAAGTACTTATCAAATTTCTTTAGTTTTGATTTATGAGCTTGCTTCAATACTGTCTCACTAGGCTTATAATTTCTAATTTGAATAAGTTCAAAAGCGATAAGATATAGCGTTTAGGTAGTCACACCTTATAAGGCTTAGTGATTTTTCAAAGTTTCATAAATAATTTTATTGTTATTCGTGTTCTATTAATCCCAAATGAAGTCGAAAAATTGTCTGTCACAAACAATTACAGATGTGGTCTTGAAGCTTTTATTGGCCACTATCCAGTTTTGAAAGTAAACAGACTGACCTTAATCGATCCTACTATAATTAATGATATCTCCTGGGTACAGATTAGCAATGACCTGAGGTTCACTTACACTAGCCTTATAAGATATCATCTATAACTACCCATCAATTACAATTCTCACTAGATCATCCTCCAAATAAACGATGTCGTCAGCCTAGTACGTCTGAATTTTTAGTTTCTTCATAAAATGAACAATCTGCTCTCTGTTAAATCTGCAGAAAAAGCTGAGCTTTGAAAGCAGTTTGGCTGTGTCCTCAATCTTATCAAACAGCCAGCCATCATCTAAAATGAATCTTGAAGTAATGATAGAACCCAATGTTTAAGGTGGCTCATACTCAGGAATCTTAGTTCTTAGGAATTCCAAACACCTCCTATTTAGCAGTTTGTATGGATCGCTGATTGATTCCGAGTCGATGGACTGTTGATTTGAAGAAAAAGAGAACTCTTCCTGTCTGAGGTAGTCATAATACCTCGAAGCTTCTTCAAATCTCTACAGCTTCCTTAAAATTACTGCTTTGATGTACAAGTATTAAGGCTTGTTGGCTCTAATACAGTCTAGATCTGTGTATCTAGGAAATGCTTTCTCTAGTGACTCATATTCATCAATAGCTCTCTCATAGTTTTCCAATCTTACTTAGCATAACACTTTTCCATAGAGAGCACTTTCAAAGCTCTCATCATCATTTAATGCCTCATGCTAAGCAATGATGTTATCATAAACTCTAGTACTCTGGTCATACTTCTTTATTTAGTATAACATACCTGCTAAGTTCAAATGAGCTTGCATGTTGGTGAAATCAAGTGCAATAGCTTTGTTGAGCGAGTCAATACTACTATTGAATTTTCCATCTTTCTAAAAATTAAAAGCTTTATGCAGCCAAAAATTTGAATCCCTAAACACAGAGACAGGCTTCTCTATTCTCTTTTAAGACTTCGTGCTGCCCTCTCTTTAGGTTTACAAGATATTTGACTGATTAAAGCTAAGATGCCTTGCTGATAAAGTTGAGTCTTTTTTTACCAATCCAATTGCATTTTTATAGTAGCCTTGCAAATTACTCCTCATTGGGGATTATGTTGCAGAATTCATCATCTTTGACTTATCAGAAGTATTTCTAGATAACTGATTGCTAGCTGCATTTTGATATGGATTTATTTAAGGAATTATATCAATGGCTCTGTTGATTAAAGGCAATTCATCTTTCATATAACTCTGAGATATTTCATTTTGATTCGATACTAGATGAATTTCCTCTTAAACTGACTACCTGTTTTAAGCATAGCTTTGAAAGCTTATCTGTTCTTTAAGTGCCTTAATCCTATCTGTTTCTGTCTTGCTCTGCATCTATATAATTCTTGAAAGCTTAGTCTGATACTAGGAGTTCTTCTTTATGACGCTTGGATTCTTAATAATCAAACTCGATGATTTGTGAGAAGAAGTATAGGGATTAATAAGACTTGTCCTTCTGTCCTGAGTATAGTACATTTCTTAGTTTTTGCCTAACTATGGCACTTTGTAGTTATCATGCTTTATCTTTGCAATGTACCTTTCCTGTTTCTGAGCGTCATTTAACTCACTTATACTCTTGAAATTAAAGTCTTAATGCTGCTTGTGATCAAATACCTTCAGCTTCCTAAAGCTAACATCATCCTAATAGGTTTGGTAATTATGTAGAGCGGCTAAATTTCTTTATCTTGAATTATTCCTAAATTTGATGAGCGGAGATGATGATGTTTTAACTCTAGTTGGAGAGTGATCGTTGTTTGAGTTTATTTAAGACTTTGATCTGATCTAGGCGTTTTCAGTGATCGCTTATCTTTTCATAGTCTACACAACTCTTTTGTTTATTTTATGAGTCAGAGCTTTTTACTATTCAATTTGGTCGACGACTGAGACTAGATGCTGGCTGTTCAATTATTCTGGTGTAAACATAAATCCTCTTGGAGTAATCATAGAAGGATTTGACCATCTGCTTGATATCTGAGCCATTTAAAGTTAATCAACAACTTAAACCTAGGAATTCTAAGATCTATAGCTGACTATATTTTTATCATCCATTGCTAATCTCAATGAAGGAGTAAAATCAGTTCTTTCTGTAGTCATCCGAGATTGTTGATGACTTTGTTGAACAGATTGGGTAAATTTGGAAAATTAATGATTATTCTGATTAATGGCTTGCTAAGAATAGTTATTTTAGTCTATGTAGCTCTTAACGACTGAAGGTATTTAAGAGTACTGTGCTTTTCTTTTTGGTTCATATTTTTACAAAATGTCTTTAGTCTATTATGGGAGATTCAGCTTTCTAAGAGCAGGCATATTTTTAATGTCTAAGTTTATGGATTATGCTAGCCAATCATCCAATGACTCCTCAGTGATGACAATTAGCTGTTAATGAGAAGGCTCTGATCTGTAATTAGTACTCTTACCTCTAAAGGAATCAGTTGAAGGACTTAAAGGCAGTGCCAAATTAGATTAAATGTCACTATTTATCTTGATGTCCTCCATTTGTAATTTTTATTCTGACTTGATTGGCATGAGTAATCTTCGCTTGTCTATGTTCTGCTTTTACTGATCTTAATCTGTGTACTTAGCTTTGAACAACGAGCAAAATGATTCATCAGTCTAAGAACTATCTGCTTTATCCTTTCCCTTGGTATTTTTCATTGCTGATTTCATCTTGGCTGAACTGTCTTTCTGCATTTATTGAGGGGATTCTTGCATTTTATTTCAATTTAATATTCCACACTTATCCTTAAAATATATCTAGTGGGGTTTTGGGGTTTTGGGGTTTTGGGGTTTTGGGG